AATAATTTGGGTAGATTTATTTTTAACTTCATATGTTTTTAAACTCATGTTTTATATCTGATTTTTTTACTAGATGTATACAATATCTGGTTTACAAATAAATAATAATGAATTACTACATGACAAAGTGTTTTCAGAGAACCATGGTGTCACGAATGGTGTCTGCAAACTACCCCCAAGTCACTTGACAAGTACTCATGGACATGGAGGAGGGTAGGTGCGCTAAGAGATGTTCAGCCTGCTGCGTACCACAATAAGCAGGATAATGCTGGAAGCAAAGTAGTAATGGTAGCTGGGTGCTCTGGTAACAAGGTTGCATGGATAGCAGAATGCGCTGGTATCAAGTCTGTACAGGTAGCAAGGCACACAGGTTGCAGAGTGCACTGATATCAATTCTGTACTTATAGGAAGGTAGACGGGTAGCTGGGTGCACTGGTAGCTTAATCTGTATTGGTAACAAGGCACAAAGGTTGTGAAGTTTAATAGTATTAATTCTGTACTTGTAGCAATGAAGACTGGTAGCTGGGTGCACTGGAAACAAGGCAGTACTTGGTCGCAAGGCACACAAGTGTCAGGGAGCTTAGGACATCGCGGTCTGACAGTATACTGACACAATGCTTGAGCAGTGGCAGCATGTCCTGCTCGAGCTTAAATAGATGTTGGTGTCACATGATGCAACATTTCCATCAAAACCAGTAAATGGCCATGGGAGATGGAAGAGGCGCAGGTGATGGAACGAGGAAGGTAAGTGACTGTGTCAGGCTAATTCAGTATGCAGCCATGCCCAAAAGTCTGGCCAGATGACAAATCAAGCATGCGGGTGTGCTCAGAGAAATGCACATGGACGTGGTTCATGGCAAAGGGCTAAGTTGGCAAATTATGTCTGTGTGCACATGACCATGTCTAAGCACGCATTGGCCTATTTAAAGCTGAGCACCACTGAGGAGAGTTGCGAATAGGAGCAACCACTGAGGAGAGAAGTGAATAGAAGAGGCGTCTACAGGAATAGACTTCTAAGATATGATTACATTCTGGTTCAGGTTTACAGGTTGGTTTAGGACAAAGTTGAAGATTAGGTTTAGAGGGTCATTTTAGGTTTAGTAGCTTATTTTGTTCTCATCACTTTTCTGATATTATTTTTTTAGTTTTCCTGCCGACACTGAATTAGCGCTAACCTACCACACCAAATGCACTTTAAATAATATATTGTTACATTAGACATTGCCCCGTGTGCCCTTTTTCTTAATCACTTGATGACTGGGGTGTCAAACCCCCTTCCTGTCTAGGCCATTTTTCAGTATTCAGCGCTGTGTTAGTTTGACATTTATTCTGTCATGCAACGCTGCACTGAAATTAATTTTATACCAATTTTTGGGGAAAAGAACGATGTTCTTCGTCTGCTCAAAGGGCTCTATGGTGAGCTCCTATGCCGTGCGCGATCGCCTAGTAAACCACTGCCACCGCGATCGCTGCCGCCGCTCAATTTAATACAAGTGATCTAATTAGATCACTTGTATTAAACGAGCAGCGGCTCTCACTGTACATTCAGCGCTGCTTGTCAGGAGTCAGGGCTGAATGTACAAAAAAACTATTCGCCCGCCGCCCGAAACTGCATGTTCCGGGCATCGGGCGATAGGTATTCGCTCCATAAGACGCAGGCACAAAAAGTGCGTCTTATGGAGCGAATCGTCTGCTCTGTGTGATTACAGAGACCGTGGGGCTGTGACCGTGGATTTCATCAGTACCCAATTTTTTGGTAAAACATAAAAGATGGGGTCATGTTGGGTAAATAGACACCAAACATATCAAGCTTTAAAATTGCGTTCGCCCACGAAATCGCAAAAAACTACCATGCCTAAAATTGGCTTTAAAAGCTTTTACCGCTCATCAGTTTAGTGATTGATGGCCCTAAAATGATTGTGCACACTCCCAAGTTTGATATGTAACATGTGTGGTGTAATCATTGCTTTTGCACACAGGCGCACCCAACATGTATTTACGTTTATATGTGCATGCATGCAGGGGCCTTACATTTTTGGGGGGTTTTTGGTTTTGGTTTTTTTAATAGACTTTTTTTTTAACTTTTTATTTTTTTTACACTTAATAACTTTATTGCTATCACATAGGGGACTAACAAGCCCCCTATGTGATAGCCAATATACAATGACAGGTCCTCTTTATGGAGACATCAGGGGTCTCTAAGACCCCTAATGTCACCTTGGGACCCCCAAAGAAGCTGATGAAGTAAAGATCTGCTTTACCAGCTTCTTCTCTGGCTATAGCAGCCAGAGAAATGACAGCTAATGGAAGAATGCTGATCTCTCCTCCGTTCTCACTGCAAGTACCGTATATACTCGAGTATAAGCCGTCCCGAATATAAGCCGAGGTACCTAATTTTAGCAAAAAAAACTGGGAAAAAAACATGTATGTCCATCCGCTGGGAAGAAGCTGCCATCCACCCATTTATTTACAATGCGCGGACATCAAGTGGTTAAAGATGATCTCCAGGAAAACCTTTTATTAACCTGTGCACTGCAAGGGCTCGTTTGTGTCTAGGGACAAAAATAACAAAGTTATACTCACCCAAAGCTCCCAGTCGGCCAGCTGTCACATCGTTCCCTTCCGTCTGTCCCCTCCTCAGTAGCATTGGAATCTTCCTCAGCGTCCTCACATCTATACACTGTGTATACATGTGATGATATATGGGACGTTAGACCAATGCAGAGGAGGGGGAGTGACACTGGAGGAACGGTCTAAGAAGCCTGCTCGGAGCTTCAAGTGAGCATAACATGCATGAGATACATTTTTGAGCATGCATGCTAAGTAATATGTAAGTGCAACATTTACAGTTGTTTATTACTTCCCAGAGATCATAGTACAGTTTGTCTTTTCAGAAGGATGGTGCCATCTTTGGTCAGGCATTGGCCAGGGTCAGCATTTTCTTCCTGGACTGAGATGCTGGATCAGGGCTTGTTCACACCAAATGTGGACCAGATCTGCATGAGTTTCTGCACAAGCAGTGCAGTGTGTTTTGCCTCGTTTTTTTGCCGCGTTTTTACCGCGTTTACGGGCCGTTTATGTATAAAATAAAATATTTTGCTTAAAATTGGCTTTTTGTGCGTTTCAGGGTGTTTGCATGCATTTTTGATGCGTTTCCATGCATTCCAGACCAGGAAAAATAGTGCTTGCTGCAGTTTTTTTACATGCTCTGGAACTGAACGCTGTGGTGTGAACTAGAGCCCAAAATACCATTGGAATACATTGGCAGCAGTTTTGTTGCGTTCTGTAACTGCTCTGCTCCTGGAACGCGCTTGGTGTGAACTAGCCCTCAAAGCTGACAGACTCATATCCATCCTGGTGCCTGGGCAATTCTTGGCTGTATTCACAAACGTCTGACAGACCAGCCTTCTACTTCAGTATCTCATGTGGTGGCCTGATACAAAGTAACAATGTTGCAGTCTCATCATTGGTGGAGAGAAAATGTGGAGAAACTGAAGATGTGGGCTAGTGTGTTGATTCGATGGATCTTAATGGACAACAGAGAGTGGACAGATTCCTGAGAAAGCCATAGATCCCTAAAATGTATATCTATGGGATCATCACCGGTAAAAGTGCTAAAATAATCAGTTCTCAGTTAACTGAAATGGTATAAAATTCATTTCAGTACAGCGTTGCATGACGGAATAAACGTCAGTCAAAGTATCGCAGCGCTGAACACTGAAAAATGGCCTGGCCAGGAAGGGGGTCTAAACACCTGGTCTTGAAGTGGTTAAAGAGTATTACTAATTTCTGAATATCTGGAAGACAAATGACCAGCTCTTGTTAACTTTTCTCGTTTCAGGAAACATTTGGAACAATATAATCACCAGCAAGCAATAACATGGCAGTGAAAGGTTCTGCGCACACAAGCACTGCTTAATGTTTTGTATGTAAATACAATTTCAGAGATCATCAGACTCATTTACAAAGCAATTAACAAGCTTCAAGCAGCTGTATAAAAGCCATTAAAGCACCTGTCGGTGTGCAGACTGTAGCTTTGGTCAAGCTTTAGCAGGCTTTGACAGCTCTGAAACAAAAATACCATGTGAATTCTTAAAGTGTATGCACACCCAAAACTTTTTCTTCTCGTTTCGGATAAGTTGGGGAAACATTAGAACCCCCGTGGGGTGCATTCCAGGGCTTTGTTGGTAAAAAAAAAAATAATTACCATCACTTACTGTTTTGCTAACAAGGGTTTCTTCAGACAGCAATTTAGGGGAATTTTCAGATTTTCCCTCACATACTGTCTGATGAAACTGCTGTCACCGTGACACTAATTAAGGATAAATCTCTTCCAGAGGTCCGGATAGCAGTAAAAACCAGCCAGGGGTTCTGACCCTCCCCCACTCTATCCAACAACAGAGAAAACATTGTTGGATGGACATACACTTTTAATATTATTGATTATCCATCAGTCACAGTGTACAAAACAACCAAGTCCATGTTATGCTATCAATACATCAGTAATGCTGATGCTGACTGCTTGTATCCCTTTTAGTAAGAAGCTCTCAGGCTGTTGCATCTGTGATATTAATGTCAGATACTAACATATGCGACCTACCCCAATCTGGCTCTAAATTCTAAAATATTGTGTATGTAACATTTGTTCACAAAAATAATACAATACAGACCGATGTATCTGTCTGATGGTGCACCTGTTGAATAGATGTGGTATAGGGCACATGAAGTTCCATTTCCAGATATAATAGACATAAACTGTCACCAGTCTTTAAAGAAATAAGGTAACTGGTATGTACATATACTGGTGACAGATTATGTCTATTATAATGGAACTTCATGTGCCCTATACCACATCTATCCAACAGGTGCACAATCAGACAATGACCAGTGAGTGGGCAGGAGAGGTTATACATTTGAATCAATAACATTTTTTAATTTAAAAGATAACATTATTTTCATTGGAATGTATATATGTACAACCCATACGCCTTCTTTCTTACCTTAATGAGATTGTGTCCAGCTCTGTACCCCAGCAGTTTATCTCCTTTGATGCCAGGGGGTAATTTGCCAGTGGAATACCCATGCCATGCCACCACATAAGGGTTGTCAATAGTAATCCAGTACTTGACATCATTTCCAAAGAGCTGGAAGCACGCCTTAGCATAGGCTTGGAAGATGCCCACCATGGACTCATTGAGCCATCCACCATAGAGTTCCTGCAGCCTCTGGGGTAAATCCCAGTGGTAGAGGGTGACCACGGGTTCTATGCCCCTGTCCTTTAGCCTGTCAATGAGTGCTCTGTAATAGGAGTGCCCTGCCTGGCTGGCACCAGATTCTGTCCCATTAGGGAACAACCTAGACCAAGAGATGGAGAACCTGTAATGTGTCACCCCCAGGATATGTAGAGCCTCTGTGTCCCTGAATGGGTTGTTGTAGCTGTCACTGGCCACATCTCCAGTGGCTCGTCCTTCTTTGTGGCAGTAAGTGTCCCAGATGGAGGGTGCTCTGCCATCTTGCTGCCAGCCCCCCTCTACCTGGTAAGCAGCTGTGCCCACAGACCACATGAACCCTGGAGGGAAAGTGTCATAGAGGAAAAGGTTGTCCTTAGGGTAAGGCAGATTGGCAAACCTTTCCCATATGTTCTCTGTGCTGCCATGCTGGGCACAGAGTCCCCAGCCCCATGCCAGCCACAAGACTAGTGACCTGACACCTGCCATCTCTTAATAATGTCTTCCTCCTGCTGCTACAATCCAGATGTATTTATCAGCTGGCACCCATGAGCTGCGATCAGTCTTCTACAGAAGGGAGGGACTGGCCATTAATAATTAGCCAGGAGCTCATCAAGAGCAGTCCGAGCTGTGTGTGCTGTGCAGGAGCTGCAGATCACTGTGCACTCAGCTCTCCCTCCTCCTTAATGACACACACACACTAATACAACCCAGGGATGATGAGGACTGCAGGGGGACAATATGCTGGAGTGACAGCAGACTACAGGTACACACCATCAGATCATTTCCACAGACACTAAGCACAATCAGCTCTCCCTCCTCCTCAATGACACACACTGATACAACCCAGGCATGATGAGGACTAGAGGGGGACAATATGCTGGAGTGACAGCAGACTACAGGTACACACCATCAGATCATTTCCACAGACACTAAGCACAATCAGCTCTCCCTCCTCCTCAATGACACACACTGATACAACCCAGGCATGATGAGGACTAGAGGGGGACAATATGCTGGAGTGACAGCAGACTACAGGTACACACCATCAGATCATTTCCACAGACACTAAGCACAATCAGCTCTCCCTCCTCCTCAATGACACACACTGATACAACCCAGGCATGATGAGGACTAGAGGGGGACAATATGCTGGAGTGACAGCAGACTACAGGTACACACCATCAGATCATTTCCACAGACACTAAGCACAATCAGCTCTCCCTCCTCCTCAATGACACACACTGATACAACCCAGGCATGATGAGGACTAGAGGGGGACAATATGCTGGAGTGACAGCAGACTACAGGTACACACCATCAGATCATTTCCACAGACACTAAGCACAATCAGCTCTCCCTCCTCCTCAATGACACACACTGATACAACCCAGGCATGATGAGGACTAGAGGGGGACAATATGCTGGAGTGACAGCAGACTACAGGTACACACCATCAGATCATTTCCACAGACACTAAGCACAATCAGCTCTCCCTCCTCCTCAATGACACACACTGATACAACCCAGGCATGATGAGGACTAGAGGGGGACAATATGCTGGAGTGACAGCAGACTACAGGTACACACCATCAGATCATTTCCACAGACACTAAGCACAATCAGCTCTCCCTCCTCCTCAATGACACACACTGATACAACCCAGGCATGATGAGGACTAGAGGGGGACAATATGCTGGAGTGACAGCAGACTACAGGTACACACCATCAGATCATTTCCACAGACACTATGCACAATCAGCTCTCCCTCCTCCTCAATGACACACACACTAATACAACCCAGGGATGATGAGGACTTGAGGAGGACAATGTGCTGGAGTGAGGGCAGACTACAGGTACAAACCATCAGATCATTTCCACAGACACTATGCACAATCAGCTCTCCCTCCTTGTCCTCAATGCCACACACTTATACAACCCAGGGATGAGGGGGACACGGTGCTGGAGTGAGAGCAGACTACAGGTACACTCCATCAGATTATTTCCGCAGACACTATGCACAATCAGCTCTCCCTCCTCTTCTTCAATGACACACACTTATACAACCCAGGGATGATGAGGACTGCAGGGGGACAATGTGCTGGAATGACATCAGACTACAGGTACACACCATCAGATCATTTCCACAGACACTATGCACAATCAGCTCTCCCTCCTCTTCAATGACACACACTAATACAACCCAGGGATGATGAGGAGTGAAGGGGGGCAATGTGCTGGAATGACATCAGACTACAGGTACACACCATTAGATCATTTCCACAGACACTTTTATTTTTAGATGCCATCCATAATAACTGTTATTAACCACTTTAAGTGCGCGGTGTTAAACCCCCTTCCTGTCCAGGCCATTTTTCAGTATTCAGCGCTGCAGTACTTTGACTGACATTTATTCAGTCATACAACGCTGTACTGAAATTAATTTTATATAATTTTTTGGGGACAGAGAGATCTGCTTCCCCAGCTTCTCTCCAGCTACAGAAGCCGGAGAATGACAGCTGAATGCGGAAGTGATGTAATATACATCACTTCCTACATTCAGAGAATGGGGGAGAGATCAAATTTACTCACTCCAGCACCTTGTCCCCCTCCAGCCTACCATTTAATTAAAATGGCTGTCCTGGAAGCGGTTAAGGTATGTAATGTCATACGGCCTCCCTTGTACTCTTTGTTCTTCTTTTGACTAACCGTGGCTAAATTCAGCAAAGGAGCTGTGCAGTAAAGAGAGATGGTGATAGCAGTCAGAAGACTCTTTAGGGCTAATTCATACCAGATGCAGTTGTGATGTAGTCCGTTCAGTTTGGCAGCTAGCTGCATCAAAATTGCATCACAAAGCTTTCCAATGGGATTTCTGGTGCTCTGTTCACACCAGTACAGTCAGCTCTGATGCAGTCAGAAAAAATCCTGCTTGCCACATTTTAGCTGCACATGATCGCAATGGAACGCATCAAAACACAATAAAAACACATGCAAACACACTGGAACGCACTGGGCCCATTTTAAGCTTAAAAAAAACAAACCGGACGGTGGCGAAAACGCAGCAAAAATGCGTAAAAATGCATCGCACTGCAGCTGCGCAGATGTACGCAGTTCTGATGCAGTTATGATGTTCAGGTTATGTGAAGCCATCTCTCCTTTCTCTTGTTTGTTTCTCTCGTCTCAGGGAGAGGCAGTCCTTTGGCACATGCAATGTTTCTTTGCCTGTTGTAATCACCAGTGGATTTGTAATAAAGGTGGATTTTATTGGCTGTTATTGGCAGACGTTTAACTCCTATACTTCTATACAAGTTACATTTTTTACATACTATAAATAAATAGTGCACAAAGGGGAAGTACAGAGTGTGACATGGAAAAATACAGAAGCAAGTGGCAGAGATAATTCCTCTTGGAAAAATTCAGTCTGCAGTATTCGGGCACTGTAACTATTTGATTTCTAGCTAAGTGTTTAATAACTAAAGTTTTGGGACCCTACCAAAGCCAAGAAATCTGGGAGACCTAGATAGCGAAAAACTACAATAGACTTTACTGGGAACAGATCCTCTTTAAAAAAAAAGGTTTGCACCTTCAGGGAAAGTTAAAAACTTGACTGCATATTGAGTCCAACGTTTGATGAGTCAACTACTGTACTGAGCTGATTTATGATTATTCCGATGTGACTTTATTAGTCAGGATATGCAAATGTGATACGGTGTAGTCCGTTTTAATACGTGCTCTGTTGACTTTATGCACCTATTTTTGTGTTCACCTACAATGTCTATTTTATATTTGACGCTCTTTCAGTCAATAATGAATTTGAAAAAAAAAACTTGACTGCAGCCCCTCTGCTGCTGAGTGGAAGGTCTCACCATGGAGAACCGCCATCACTCAGCTGTTATAGCAGTTCTAGTGGTATTAGTGGTTCTAGCCGCTCCAAAGATTCCACTGTACAAGGTTCTGCTTAGCTGTCTTTGATAAAATGCAGCCAGACTTCGGAGATCCATTGCCTCCTGGAAAACTACTGACAAACAATGGGTTTCTGAGTCTTGGCTATGTTGTGTTGAAGAAATCCAAACAGCTCTAAGCGGTGGCAACTTTGAAGTTGTTCAGTAGTGTTATTAAACAGCTATCTGGTGTTGGGTTATGTTTTTTTGAGTAAGGACTCCCCAAACAATCTGTAGAGGGGAGACATATGGCCAAAATGTCTGCTTTCTCTGCTTTCTCTTTGAATGTGGCTCACTTCCCCTGTCAAAAGTTAGAAAACATCATGAGCCCACAGTCTTAGAAGCTGTGTAGAAGCTCAGTCCTGACTTGAAGCATGTTAGTCTCTACCCACTGAATCGGTGGCTGCAACATCCAGTATCTTACAATCAGAAGTTGAATTCACAGAATGCCAGATCGACTTAAAGGCTCTTTATCTGTGAAGGCTGTGAGTACTTCTGTTTCTGTTTTCTGGAGTCTGCAAGTCCATGGGTGTCCTGTGCCCTAGTACTCTCTCCTAAAGCTATCAAATAAATTCCCTACAAGCAAAAGATCGACCGTATGGGGGTCAGTTAATTGGTCGCCACTGGTGGGTTAATTGCTTTAGAACAGCTATGGAACTGAGTACACTAGACATGCTAAGAGTACCCAATTCATCCACGGGTCCCTTCAAGGGTGAGCACTACAGTTGGCATTCTGCTAAGCCTTTAAAATAGGCCTGCAAAGACAAAAAACTTTTTGGCTTCCATAGCTAAGCTCCTTCTGAAATACAGTATACTAGTTACCTGACTGTCCCTGGCTTCAATTCCTTGAGTCCCTGACTTGGAAACAGCATGCAACAAGTGAAGTCAGAGCGAGAGTAGAACTTTAGTATGGTTGGAGACTGAAGACCTGCTGCGGATAGGGTTGGAGACTGGAGACCTTCTGCGGGTACGATTGGAGACTGGAATCATGCTGCAGGTATAGTTAGAGACTGGAGACACGCTGTAGGTACAGTTGGTGACTGAAGACATGCTGCAGATATGGTTGGGAACTGGGGACATGCTGCAGGTACGGTTGGAGGCTGGAGACATGCTGCAGGTATGGTTGGAGACTGGGGACATGCTGCAGATACGCTTGAAGACTGGAGACATGCTGCAAGTAAGGTTGAAGACTGAAGACCTGCTGCAGGTACATTATGAGACTACAGGCATACACGGGTACAGTTGGAGAATACAGACATGCTGCAGGTATGGTTGGAGACTGAAGACCTGCTGCAGGCAGGGTTGAAGACAAGCTGTAGGTATGGTTTGAGACTTTAATCATGCCTCAGGTACGGTTAGAGACCGAAGACCTGCTGCAGGTACAGTTGGAGAATGGAGACATGCTGCAGGTACGGTTGGGCACTCGAGAACAGTGAGCAACTGGGGACATGTTGTACTGTATAAGACTACTAGATATTACTGCTATTATCATTTTAAAAATCAATATTCCAACTTTCACTACTGACTTCTGTACAGACTGCTGAGGTC